CGCTAATTCCACTTCTCCCGTCCCTCGTCGCATCAACATGGCATCAGCATGACATTCCATCTAATCGCATCAAATCACATCAAAATTGCATCACCACCACATAATATTGTATCTCATATAATATAGTTCTGCTCTCACGTCTACTTTTTGATAAGACGAGCAGTTAATAATTAATTAGGTGGGTAACAAATGATAAATAAAATAAATGGTTGCTTCTTTTCAAATGTCAGTTACCCGCCAACATCTCCACAATAACTAACCTCAAAAATATTCGGCAAAAATTCATATAACAGCATCCAAAGGCGTTCATTCAGAGAAGAATTCGAATGCTCAGAAACACGTACAAACATGCACTGACTTCTACAAGTGCATACAAAATCTTCTAGAAAAAAACTTATGCATATAAAGAGAGAAAGAGAAAGAGAGAGAGGGGGGGGGATGAGAGAAAAAACTTTCAGACTTACTTAGATGATCACAGGTGTGTACTTCAAATTTTAAATTCGATCCATTATGAGTGGTTAAGAAATCAGATAAATAAGATTATTTCTTTTATTTTTATTTCCATCTCCATACATTTTTTCCCTCCATTTATGTTCTTGTTAGATCTTGATATCAAAGTAAAAAGCAAAATTGCTTATTATCTATCATTTCTGCGGCTCCCACAAAAAATCAAATAATGAGCCATTGTTTCGTTTCGATTGCGCATGAAGCGTTGTATATGAACCGTTGATTGTAAATGACATCAACTGAAATGCTTTCTTGTTATGTAACCATAAATTTATAACATATTTTTCAGTTAGGGTCTTATAATATGTTGTTGAATTGTGAATGTGATGTATTGGATCATATTTTTTCATTGTAAGTACATACAAAACGATGCAAATCCCGAATCATCTCATCAATCTTCTTTCTTACGAACACACCGAAGTATCCATGATGTAGTATTTATTATTTATATATAATCACATCAACAATGCAAACTGCAGAACAAAACATTAATTTTTAGACATGTAACAACAACAACGACAACAACAACAACAATTACACTTAATAAATCTATTAATGTTACGGTTAAAATCTTAAGAACATAATACAGAAATGATAAACTTTGTGTCAAACATACAAAACGGTTTATATTATTTATGTATTAAATTAATTAGTAACAGTTGTATAAAAAACCGCATTACTATTAACTGGCAACGATTGAATCTCTAAAGTAGCTCAATCAACTACAACACTATCAACATAATAATGAAAAAACAAGCAACAAGACACACAAAACATACAATAGATAACAAACAATACTAACAACAATAATAATAACAACAACAACAAATAACAACAACACAAGTAGAACATTTATGGATAGCAACAACAACAACAACAAACAACAACATTGCCAAAAACCATTTGCAGATAAATATATCACATCAACAATGCAAACTTGCAATGCAAAAACCATAGCAACAAACAACAACAACAACATCAACAACAACAATAACAACAATAGTGATGAAATGTTTCTGGTTCATGCAGCTGAGAGTCATTTAATGGATTAACCGATCACGATCAGTTCATTTTACTTTGATGTTTAATTGCTAGGAGATTTTCTTTTCATTTTTTCGAACAATCCTTTTTTATTTATTTATTTTTTTTGTGTTTTTGTTTTTGCTATTGATATTATCATTTTTGTTGTTATTATTTTTTTTCTTTTTCTTTTTGAAATTACATGTGATATTTGAGTGCGATGTTTCGTCTGTGCCGATAATGTTGCAGATATTCCTATTTGTCTTACTATTCCTATTTGTTTTTTATGTTAATAATTTCAACTTTTGTGATTGTATGGTGAAATGTTTTTATTCAACCATTTTTTGTTGCGATCAAAACGTTTTGCAACACAAGAGAACAAGAAAGAGGAAAGAGAGAGAAAGAAAAAAAAAGAGAAGGAGAAGAAGGGAAAATAAAAAGAGGGGTGAGACAGAAAGTTAGAGAAAGAGAGAGAAAGAGAGAGAAAGAGAGAGAGAGAGAAAGAGTGAGACTTAAATTAAATAATTTTTTACGGCGGACTTCCAACCGAGTGAATCGCTTTTATGTGCGTCAAATAGCATTAAAAAAATAAATCAGAGAAAGCTCAAAGTATCTCTTAATTAATGAAAGTTATCCTGCGATAACTCATTTAATATTTAATATATTAACATTAATATCATTTGCAGACAAGTATATACACTTACCTACACACACAAAACACAAAACTCACATACACAAAATTCACACACACAACATACAAAACTCACAAACACGTTCCTACAAAACATATACCCATACACACACATTAAAACTTAATTTAATTACACACACTATGTAGGATATTTGCTATGAATATGTAAATTAATTACATATAATACGTTATTATTCATCCGTTTAGTCATTTTGATTAATATATATTTCTGTAATTTTAGCAACATTTCCAAATAGTCTGTTGCTATGTATGTCAAGAAAGTTTAAAAACATTTGAACAAATCAACAAAAATACTGCAAGTGCAAAGATGAAACGCCACAAACTTGAACATGAACATATGAACATAAACGTAAGCGTGAACATAAACATGAACGTGTACATGAACATGAACGAACATCTTAACAAACATTGAAATATAATAACGCAAAATAACAATGACTACAGCCTTCTATGTCAAATAAAATAAGACAAACCAACAAACAGCATCAACAAAATAAAAATTATAAAAACGCATGTAACCCAAAAAAACTCATAAATGTCAAAAACAACGACTTCGACAGAAACGGCGAGACTAAATATAATTAGCAATAACAAAAACACTTTACAACAACAACTATTACTACCACTACTACCACTACTATTACTACTACTACTACTTCTATTACTACTACTTCTACTACTACTACCACTACTACCATTACTACTACTACTACTACTACTACCTACTACAACTACTACTACATCACGTGACAACAACAACAATAACAACAACGGCACGTGACAACGACAAGAACACGCGACAACAACGACATCACGTGACAACGACGACAACAATAACAACAACAATGCTGGGACAATAAGACTACAAATCACAATGAAGGAGAGCAGGAACACGAGATTTTGTACGCGAACTCGAAGTGAAGTGTAATTCAAACATCGAAGCAGTTTGCAGTTGCTTCACTTCATGAGATTGATTAGACATGTAAGATGACTTCTTCCTTCATTCCTACACTTGTGTATATTTTTATTCTTTACTTATGATATGTTTCATTCGTTCATTCATTCGTCCGTTCGTTCGTTCGTTCGTTCACTCACTCACTCATTCACTCACTCACTCACTCACTCACTCACTCACTCACTCACTCACTCACTCACTCACTCACTCATTCATTAATTCATTCATTCACACACACCCATTATCTGTTCACAATGTGAGTGAGTACGATTCTTAGTTGCTATTCAAAAATGTATTTCTTTTCTAATGCAATATATTTTTAAAGTTTCACTTAATCCAAAAGTATTTTGTAGAAACGGAAGGAAAAACTGATGGAAAACAAAATTTCGAATTGCAACGATTCAATCAGATATGAAACTTCCTACTTTTTCTAAAAATTACGTTCAAATTCATTCTTGCCTGGAAGCCGATGCTAAAATAATAATTTTATATTCTGTTTTTTGTGATCTAAAAAATGTAATCTAACCAACCAACCAACCAACCAACCAACCAACCAACCAACCAACCAACCAACCAACCAACCAACCAACCAACCAACCAACCAACCAACCAACCAACCAACCAACCAAACAAACAAACAAACAAACAAACAACCAACTAACTACTCAACTTTGAATGTATCATGTCTGTTCTTTCAAAGATATATAAGTAAATGATCTACTGCAACGTAACTGCAACACACCTCAACTTTCCAACTGCAATAAAAAACCATAAAAATTTCCTATTCGACGCCCCCCACCGTTATTAACATTAGCAACATCATCATCTATCCAAAAACAACAACAAGATTCTCTCTTGTGGTTAAAATAATATCATTTCTATTTTCAATAATTGTTTTGTGAAATTCGCAATTGAATTAGAGTGCGTATTAACAATAAAATACGATACAAATTAATGCAGTAGAACAATACACTGCAATTTAATACGATGCAAATCACACACACACAAACACACACTTACACACTAAAAATCACTTGGAATATATAAAACAATGTTTGTATTGACAACAAACATCAACCAGAATAAATTTTGTGGTTGAATTTTTAAACAATACTTCAAAAGGTTAATATATTTAAAGTTTCAAACAACTGAACCAGAATTCTTAACTTTTTTCCCAAATGAATTAACATTAGAGAGAGCTCTTAAAAGCTTTTCATAAAATCTAAAAATCATTTCTGGATTTTAAATTGAAAATTAAATAAAAAATTTGTGCATGAAGTATGTCATTTTTAATTGAAACGACAGGAAGACTAATTGTTGAGAACGAGTGGGAAAACCACATCAGAGCCGATTAAAACGTACAGACAGAGTAGACATAGTAGAAACAAAATTTATTAAACATTTCCCTCTAAACCATCACCAGCGAGCCAAACAATAACACATCACTTCAACTGTAAACAGAATATTGTTAGATCAACAGCAAAACGAACAAAAAAAACCAAACAAGCAACAATGTTTGTTTGGGTATCACTTTCATAGGAAACCATTGCCTTCATGAGTTTGAAACATTTTGTCAATTTTCTCGGTTGGCTGGTAACGTCAGGTGCTGTTTCAATTATCTTATTCATTGATGTCTTAATGGGTGTTATTTGCATTAGCGATATTTCATAATTTAATGGTAATTAATTTTTATTTGGCTGTTTAACAATGAATAAATGTTTACTGCTTAAATAAATTAAATTCCGTTAACTAAAATTGCTATCCTAAAATCTGTTGTTGGTCTGTTAATTTAACTTTGACGTTAATTTAACTTTTAACACCAATGATGTGCTGATTTTGATACACATAATTATCATCATCGTCATCATCGACGTTGTCGTCGTCCTCATAGTCATCATCATCGTCATCATTACTCTCATTAGTTTCATCAAAAAATGTTTGCTTGAAAGAATTTCTTTGAATAGCTTCATAGAAACTTCTTTGGTCAGTTTTGCAGAGTGTAAGCAGGAAGATGTTATTAGCTCTAAAATTGGGTTTATCAAAGTTTAATTGGTGCTTTATACGTCAGTAAAAGATATAGTTGGCGTAAGACGAAGACACACGCACACACACGCACACGCACGCACGCACATACACAAACACGCATACACACACAAACAAATGATCACAGACTGAGGAGACCAGTATATGAAGAAACATAAAATGTTTGTGTTTGAACGAACTACTCTAGATATTAATTAAGAAATGCTCATACATTTCAATATAACAAAACCTAACAGTTTTTGGGATAGTTTATGATTCGTTTGAATTCAAATAAATGAAAAAAAAAACATTTTGAAAATTTCATTTGATTTCATTTGTTCAATTTTATGATGAAAATTGTCAAAAATATTGAAAGTATTGAAAAAATAACTTTACTCAAAATAATTTAACTAGAAGATTTTGATTGGACATAAATATAGTCTGGTTCAAAATGACCTTAATGATTTTATTTTATGTTTGTTCAAAATCATGGTTNTGAGGAATATATTTGGGAACAACACATCATCACATCATCACAACATCACAACATCACATCATCACTACATCACATCATCACAACATCATAACATCACATCATCTGACGACGATGACGATGAATTATTCGTTATAATACTTTTCCTTTTTCAAACAAATAAGACTCATGGAAGCCACCAAGCCTAGAACCTGCAGAAGTTGATGATGATGATGATCACATGACGATGATGATCACATGATGATGATGATCACATGATGATGATGATCACATGATGATGATGATTACATGATGATGATGATGATAACGGCGATCACTACATCACATCATCACAACATCATCATTTATAAAGGCTAATCCATTAATGTATAATTTTCTTGAAGCTGCTGTGCTGTTGGTTTGCGACAACAATTAAAGATGACATGATGACGAAAATAATGCTGACGAACGTGATGACGAGCAGAATGATGATGATGGTGGTGATTAAATGATGATTGTAATGATGATGATAGCCAATAAGAAGTATAGACTTAATTACCTTATTAATAACGAATAACTAGAGCTGCTACAATTTCAATTAAGGGGGAAAGAAAATGAATTAGGGTAGGCGGCTAACGATGATGACGATGATGATGACGATGATGATGATGATGAGTATGAGGATAAAGAGTACAATGAAGGTGATGATGATGGCGCAAACAGATGATGATGATGATGATGATGATGATGATGATTCAGATGATATAACAATAAACATAATGATAACAATTGCTGGTGAATTGTATCTGTTTGAAAAGATTTTTAAATTATACATCTCAAAAGATTTTTAAATTATATATCTTGTGTAGTGAAGATTCTGAGTTTTTTTTAGTTTTTTTTTTTAAACACAATACAATAATACAATACAACAATATACAATAATACAATACAACATTTATTTGACTCAAAAAAATGTAAAAATAATAAAAAAAATGATGAAGATGGGGATGAAAATGAAGGAGTGAAGATGAAGGAGTGAAGATGAATGAGTGAAGATGAAGAAGTGAAGATGATTGAATTGATAAAGATGATAATGAAAATGATGATGACATTAGAAAAGGCAGTGCTGCCAACGACGACGACGATGAAGATGGTTGTCAGAAATTTCAACCTAATGATTTTATCTGCCTATAATGAAAGGTAGTTACAAGCCACCTTTTATCTTCTTAATAATTACTTACTTTGCTACTCTGCGTTCGACTTTTGGCGTTCTTTAGAAAAAGAACATTCACTTGAATTACGTTTGTGTTTGTGTGTGTGTGTTTTTGCATATTAGAGGGTGTTTTTAGGTGTGTGTTTTTTCTATTTGTGTATATGTATGTTTTTGCCTTTTGAATGTGCTACATGTTTATATGAATGACTTTTAATGTATGCATGCTTGTATGTAAATATATAATATATACATATGTGTGTGTGTGTGTGTGTGTGTGTGTGTGGATATGTGTATGTTTAAATTTCTGTTTATATGTGTAAGTGTGCGTGTGTAAGTGTGCGTAAATATTGTTCAGTGAATGTATATTACGAAGCATATACAATATACTATGTTGAGGATTTGTTTATCCGAAGTATGCATCCAGTGAAGCAGCTAGCTTCAAACTTCTGGTTAAGTAATTAATTATATTCGCCGGGCTGAGTTACCCGATCTGAAGATGAATAATTGGTGATGAAGATGATGACGAAGATGATAGTGATGAAGATGATGACGATGAAGATGATGACGACAATATTGTTGGTGATATTTATCTGTTGGTTGGATGGGTGGTTGGTTGGTTGGTGATATGTTGTTGGTTGCCACTGGACTTCTCAGAAGTTTTTTTTTATTTTATTCGAAGTTTGACCTGATAAGATAATTATTTTGCAAATTTTAAGGTTCACTTTTTAAAATTGTTGCTGTTTTCATGCTTAGCAATGTCGCTTTAATGACACTTCGTTTAAAATGAATAATTTTTGTACCGTAACGTCATGACGAACTTCAATAGTTCATATTAGTATAAGTTATTTATAAATATTCAACTATGATTGTTTTAAAATTATTTTTATTCCAACGTAGAAGGTGTTTTCCAGAAATGACAGCATAAATATTGTTTAACACGTGCCTGGTCATGAAAGGACCCGCAGCATTAAATTTTAAGATCAGTCTCACACGGGAACCCATCTTCTCTTCAACTCTTTCTTTTTCTAATTATTTCACTTTGCGTGTGTGCGTATGTGTGTATGTGAGTGTGTGTATGTGTGAGTATGTGTATGTGTGAGTGTGTATGTGTGAGTGTGTGTATGTGTGAGTGTGTGTATTTATGCGTGTGTGAAAGCTCGTGCTTTTGAATCTACGCACGTATGTGAAAGCATGCATCTTAATACAAATATGCTTCCACGGTGGTTCACAGTTGTCTGTGTTCGTGTTTAGTACATTTGCATGCATTTGTATGTTCATCGTCATCCGTGTGCATGTTCGAAAGAGTATGCAGCATACGTAAATGTGGTTGGTTTGTATGTTGATGAATGTTTGTATGTGTACGCCAACACGTACAAAATCTGTACAAAATTTTGCATGCAGATTCGCGGAGACACATGCTGTAAGATGTTGTCGTGTGTGTGTTTGTTTGTCGGGTGCGTGACGTCGTCATGAATGAGCATGACATCATCGTCGACTTACAATGGGCGGCTGATTGTTTCGATGGTTCTGTGTGGGGTGGTTGTGCTGATGGTGGTGGAGGTCATGCCCATGATGACGAATTACAAATGATGATGATGGTGACGATGACGACGACGACGATGATAAGAAGGATGTAACTGAAAATACTGAAAAAAAATATCATGTTAGCCGTCAAAATGATTATTTTTTCCAACCAGTTTTAAAATTGATACAGTAGAACATATGATGATGACGACGATGGTAAAGGTCATGTATTGGTATATATTGAGAGGAACATCATTTTGGAATATGTAAAGTTGTGATATTATTATTTTAATAATCATCATTATTATCATATTATGAAATGTTCAGTAAAATAATCATTAATGAGGATGGCAATTGAAGAAAGTGTTTAGCATGATAATTTGCTGAAAAGGATTCTGTGAAAATTATATTAACCACACTCTCCTTTCATCTTTAATTGCTTTTAAAAGCAGCTAATGACATTAAGATTGAATTACAGACCCATTTCATTTTGTTACTATTTAAACATTTAAGCGTATCAATAAAAATTCACAAAATTTTGAATAAAAAAACAAAATAAAATCAACATTTCAACAAAAAGAACAATGAAACACACTCAATAAAAGTTGCTGCACAACAACACCAACAAAAACTTGTAATTAATAATAATAATAATAATTAAGAATAATAATAATAAGAGTTATTATTATTATTATTATTATGAAAGGAGGTTTAATGTGTTCTTACTCATTCACGCTGCTCCACTTTTGATCTCTCAGGCATAATGTTACATCATTAATTATCATCATCCTCTTTGATCTCCACCAATTTATAAACACCGATGAATATTACCCTTTTATCTTTGAATAATAACAACAACAACAACAACAACAACAATAATAATAATAAGTAAGTGTTGATACAAACATATGATGGATGTTGTTTATTTAATAAACTCTCAACACCCTTGTTTATATTTCAGTGTTAAATCTTTTCGTAACATTTTTTTTTTTTGAAAATTTAGTGATATAACGCAGACCATGATTAGCAAGGAAGGTTGTTGATACGTTCAATTTTACAATGAGCCGCGTAAAATTAGTAGAAATACTAGAAGCGATAGCACTATTACTGACAATAGTAATAGTAATAGTAGTAGCAGTAGCAGCAGTAGAAGTAGTAGTAGTAGTAGTAGTAGTAGTAGTTGTAGTAGTAGTTGTAGTAGTAGTTGTAGTAGTAGTTGTAGTAGTAGTAGTGGTGGCAGTTGTGGTAGTAGTAGTAGGAGTAGCAGCAGCACAGCAGTAATAGTACTAGCAGTAGTAGAGGTAGCAGCAACAAATTAGTTTTTGATGTGGTTGTTATTTTTGCACTCAAAAAATGTGCTTTACAGTATTAAATCTGAATGGAAACAATTGCAGTGAGAAGTATTAAAGCTGGTTTTATTATAAAATCATGACGATTTGTGTTTATTTGGCGAACGATATTTGATTTGATAAATTTTGATGTTAAAGCCGGTTAAATATTTTTGTGTTATGTGGGTGCCAATAAAAAATTTCAATTATATGTTTATTTATTATATATTATTCTCATATATTGAACTAAGACACCTCAAAACTTTCAATTTATTTATTACGGATTACACATTACCGATTACACACAAATGAACAATACACACGCATATAATAATACAAACCAACGTAATCAAACAAAGAATCCTTACAAAATCTTCTCACCATGATCTTGAAAAAAATTTATTTGATCAACCATACATTGTGTTGTTGCGTTTTGTTGGAGAAGGGTGCAGACAGCACAAGAGTCTGCAGTGCGTCGGCATATTAACACTCAATTAGCGTGCCACATTAACTCTCTTATGTTCACTGTTACGCGCGAAAACTTATACACAACTCTACAAAAAACAACACAACACCACACCAATACAGAAGAACACATCACGCAACAAAACATTATCCAGGAGATAACACATAGAAATACAATACAAAACGGCACGGCATATTCATCTACCTACACGTATGCATGAACCTCCATGCATCAATGCTTTCATCATGCTTTTGTTGTGTGTGTTTCTTCTTTAAATTATTATGTATTTTGATCAATCTTATTTGATCTGCTTGCTGGTGTTGTTTTTTGTTCTCTATCATGCCTTTCTGATCTGACAAACGCTGTTTGCAAGCTTGCCAGTTAGTTGCAGTGAAAACTTTTCCTGCCGCAATTACTGACTGCTACATCCGCACTCATTCGTGTTTACGCACAAGTAGCGCAGCGTACATAAGAGATTTATGGCAATCATGTTGTTTTCGGGGCTAGAAAACAAAATTCGAACTTAGAAAACGAACTATAGCAACGCGCGGCACAACACTTCTACCGTTTCAACTAAATTTTTTTCAATGTACGTCAGGTTTTTGAGGTGGTTTGTTCGACGGTTGGATGGTCATTTCTTGAGTGTGTGATGTTGTGGTGTTGTTTGTTTCATGTAAACCTGTGTTATGTGATAACACTATCAAAGAGAGAACGTTTCAGACAGAAACATAACTAAAGAAGTTATCGTAAAGCAACATTCTTAAATTCATTCATAAATTATTATCATCAGATTAAAAATATTTGAAATACATTTAAATATGTTTTTGAATTTCTATGTCGGAGATTTATCAAAGACAGTTTTTAACGTTTAACCTGTTTTCAGTTTAATCAATAAATAATTTTTTTGACTTGAAATTTGTCATTAGATGGCATATTCGTTTAATGCATTTGAATTATTTATATGTCCGTCCATAGTTTCGAAGTCATTAGCAATTTTAGTAAATAAAATCATTCATTCTGAAACGTGTTAAAAGATCGGGCAATTTCAATTTTTATTTATTTATTTTATCTTTATTACATATTAAAAAATGTTTCAAACATCATCATTTTGAGGTTGCTGGTAAATAACATAGAATTGAGAAGATTTAAAGATTGAACAATTTTTAAATTTATAATTTTTAGATTGCAAATAAAACATAAAATCATACATCTATCTATTCATTCATTCATTCATTCATTCGTTCGTTCGTTCGTTCGTTCGTTCGTTCGTTCGTTCGTTCGTTCGTTCGTTCGTTCGTTCGTTCGTTCGTTCGTTCGTTCGTTCGTTCGTTCGTTCGTTCGTTCGTTCGTTCGTTCGTTCGTTCGTTCGTTCGTTCGTTCGTTCGTTCGTTCGTTCGTTCGTTCGTTCGTTCGTTCGTTCGTTCGTTCATTCATATATCATTCCATTTATCTATTCATTCATTCATCCATCCATCCATTAATCTATCAATCTATCCATCCATCCATTCTCATCCATTCATTCATCCATTTATAAATCTATGTTGAAAATGAGTTAAAACATGTAAAAACATGAGCAGAACACATAAGCAACAACATTTTAGTTTGTGTTTGTGTGTGTGTGTGTGTGTGTGTGTGTGTGTGTGTGTGTGTGTGTGTACACTTTTCATACCATATCATCATCAAAATGAATGTTTTCATCATCGTCGTCATCATCATCATCATCAGCAGCATACTTTTCATATTTTAAGAATAATCCGCCTACTATTCAGTTTATACGTATCCATCATCAAAGATACATCACTTATTATCATTATCATCCTCATAAACATTATCACCATCATCAATTTGTTGTTAATTACTGATGATGATAAAAATGTTTGGAATGATATGTAATATAGTTATATGATGAAACGCACTATCATCTTAATATTTCTTATCCTGCGTTTCAATGATCATGTTTGTTACCATCATGACGATGAGGATGATGAAGATGATGATGATGAGGACGAAGATGTTGTTTTGTTGTTGTTATTATTTATTCTTTATGATGACGATGTTGTTGTTGTCGTTAATAATGATGATGACGATTATATGATGATGATGATGATGATGATGATTTCGATCAAAAATATCTTTGATAACATATTTTCACTCGTTTCATTACATGAATTATTTGCAATGGTTGATGTTTTGTTGTACTTCATATTATGTTACACGTGTCTCGTTTGTTATATAGTTTCACGAGTTGTTGTTCTGTTGTGTTGTTGTGACTGCTGCAGTTGCGATTCTTTTCCTTCTTCCAATCAAAACTATTTTTTTATTTTCAAAATATAATTCCTTCCTGTCATCATACGGTCTCCATCATCAGCATCGCTCCCTACCGCCACCATCGTCGTTATAATTTTCGTCATCATCGTCATCATCGCCATGTTAATCATCCATATCATCGTCATCAGTATTACCAACAGACCATCATCTCCACCACCATCATCACCACCACCTAGTTCCGGGTTAAGACCTCTTTGGACCCCGGCTGAAATGCATTAGAAGGTCCCCTAAACTCACCCTCCGTGTTATCTTGATGGTTGAACGTGTTTTGTTTGATGTTTATATTGATTTTTTAAAATTAAAAAAATTTCCATTATTTTTTGTATCGGTGAAAGTACCTATATATATATATATAT